TTAAAGTTTACGAGCTCTTCATCAGGTCAGCAGACATTGGAATGATGACCTGATGAAGAGCTCGTAAACTTTAAACTTTAAACACCCTTATTCTATACCTTGACTTTGTTTTTATCTACACGGGTGTTCGTGTGTGACTTTACTTCTATATATATATATATATATAGAGAGAGAGAGAGATAGAAAGATATTATATATCATTATTATGATTCATGAGTCCTGATCAATACTATTGCTCATAGGGTCTATGTCCCCCAGGGTACTGCCGGAACGTACCCTGGTAACTATCTGATATGGTTAGGGTTTGGGTTCTGGTTAGGGTTAGGGTTAGGGAGTAGGCGTAGGCGACTCCCTAGACTCGTTAGTGGAGTAGGCGAGGTACGGTCCGGCATATTAGATAGTACCAAATAGGGCTGTAACGATCCACCGAAATCGAATCGGATCGAGATTCTCTTCCCTCGATCCGATCCTCGATATTTTCCCCGTATTTTCGATTCCATTTCGATACCACTTTTTTCCTTCAATAGATGGCGGCACTTCGCTATATACTGTGGAGTGTTACCAGAGCATATAAATCACTGATTTATATGCTCTGGTGTTACTCAACAATGTTACTCAGCGACTGTGCAGTGTATATATACTCTCTAGACTCTCTAGTCTATTCACCATTTAGTATTCATTGTCAATTTCTAATAATTTATTATTGCAAAATAATGAAAATATAAAAAATAAGATAACATTTCAATATTTTGGGAATCGAATCGAAGGAATCGAATCGAGAAAGCTAATATCGAGAACTGTATCGAATCGAGAGGCTTGTGTATCGTTACAGCCCTAGTACCAAGGTACGTTCCGGTATACCGGACCGTACCCATGGTACGTTCCGGCAGTACCCTGGGGGACATAGACCCTCTCAGGGATACTATTGTGCTCAAATGGCAGGTTTAGTAGTGTAGTAGTCAGGTTTATCTTAGAATAAATATACATTCGATCGCCATGTCTTTCATGATGCATATTAATTATAATTATGCTCCATAGGCATCTGGGCACAGGAAGGGTCTAGTGACGAAGACAGACCAAATCATGGCAGGAAGAAATCAAAGAAGAATTATGTAGCACCAGTCGATTTCATCAGTGGTGGCGTCAAACAGTCAGATGGGAAAATTAGCAAAAATGAAGAGGATGAAGGTAATGGATAATTTCTAAATTATATAACATAAATTTGGTTAATTAAGTTACATAAGATAAGTTTAAAAGTAAAAATTATATATATATTCGGAAAGAAGTTGTAATTTTTAATTGAGATATTTGTATAACTTGAGTGATTCTTAAAAATATAATCACATATAATGTGGCTATCTAAGGTAATACCATTTACATATCTCTACAATATATAGTTATGTTTATGGTAAGGCACGTGCATATTCTAGCTAGCTGATATATTTAACTTGAAGCATAGTTTGTCTATAGGTTTAATTTGGTCAGTCACATTTTGATTGATTATGTCTAGGGGTGCACCGGATCCAACTTTTTAAGTTCTGGCTGGATCCAGAACCAGCCGGAACTTGAAAAAAGTTCCGGCCGGAACTATATATACATGGCCGGAACCGGAACTTAAGCTGGGAATAAACTTGACAGTTTTAATTGGCCCAGTATTGCACAAACTCACTCGGCCTGAACGAAATATTATTAGCAGGCACATCACTCAGGCGAGTAGGACAATGCTCATTGTTCTACATGTTCTCATTATGTCACATGTTCTCATTATGTCTCATGTTCTCATGTTCTCATGTTCTCATTTTCTCATGTTCTCATTATATATACATGTTCTCATTGGCTACATGTTCACATTCTACATTGCTCTCATTGTTCTCAATTCTACAAAGTTCTAATTACAGGATGGTTGTTAAGTGTATGAATCATCTGCTTACAGTGCATAATTCTGGCATCTTATTCGCGAGCGAATTGTGTGGCAAAACCTGCATGTTGCAGTATCCCTGGTTTTAGTCGATTATTTTCAACTAACAAACAGATGCCATTCCTGTGGCTCTAAGAGCATTTTATTTTAAAAGAAAATCTCGTGAATCACCTAACATCAGTTAGGTTCAGTTCAGTTAGTTAGCTGATGTTCAAGTGGCAAACGTTTTCTGGGCAGAATAGTGTGAAGTTGTTAACACTATATTGTCAGCAAGTTGATTCTATTGATGCTCAACTACATTCAGTGACTGATCTTTTGATCTTGGTGACGCTTGTAGCAGAAATGAAATTAGGAAAAAGTTCCTGTTCCGGCCGTTCCTGAAGGGTTAGGGTTAGGGTTGGGACCGGAACTTTGAAAAATTGAATGCTGGAACTATCTGGCCGGATCCAAGTTCCGGTGCACCCCTAATTATGTCTAATTATGTCATGTCTTATTATGGCCGTTATTCACTATATACTAAAATAACGAGTACGACTGACCGTCAAGGATAACTATTAAAATTAGCATAATAGCAAGAGCTAATAATACCTCTAATACCTCTCTTACCTCTAATAATATTATTAGCTCTTGATAATAGTCGTATGAGGTGTTTAGTAAATATTTCAGTGATTGTATTTAAATTTCTGTCAGTCTGACATTTTCCATGAATGACATTGGAAAGTTTTTCTTAGCAACGTGTTAGACATTTTAGACCAATTACCCCATGTTAATAGATTTGGATGATGACGATGAAGAGGTGCTGCATAGGATAGGGCTTGGCAGAAAGAAGCACCCCATGCAATCCAAAAGTGGTAGGCGAGGAAAGGAAGTCAGTGCTAGCAGATCTGGAAGTTACAGGTCTCATCAACAGCGTGACCAGTAAGTATGGTTATTGGTTAGCTTATATTTCTATTGATGTCGTCATTCGGCAAGTGTACTTCGATATTTATCACGTAACTGATAGCACTGAGTTGTTTCGGTCAAATAAGCATTTAGTTTTTGGCATAAATTTATGTAAGGATATATAATTGGGATTTATTTAGAAGTTAATATAATTGGGAAGTTAGAAAAGCTAATATAGAATAAAGAATAAATATAAAATAAATAAATAAGAATAAATAATAAATATATTAATAATAAATAAATAATGAATAATAATAAAGAATAGCCCATCTTAGTATGGCTTAGACTGCATCTCAATAAGCCAGTAATTATGTTACCTTTGGACAAATGTTGAGCTACTGACACCCTTGGGAAGTATAATGAGTTTATTTGCAGAGAACTTTTGTTTTTTAATTTTACTGACAAATATGTTTAATGGTTGTATCTTACCAGAACCAGTAGGGATGCAAACAAAACATTAATCAGTGTGGTAACCTTAATGCAAGAATTTAAACAGCCTTTACGGTTACTTGGTTATACCACTTGTTTCTCTCGAAAGTCAAGCCCCCGTCTCTGTACTTTGACATGGTAACTTGAATTAAACAATAGAGACGTTGTACCAGTCTAGAAGCATTATGTCACTCAATGAGATGCACTTTTGTCTGGTTGTTACCAATTGCAAATGAGTTGTCGCGATCCAAAAGATACTATAGATAGATATTATATAAGATTTTATATACCATAACAGCATAAAGTTATGGTAATTTTTATACTGGAGTAATCAGTAACATGTTCGCTATTAGGTGAGACTATATTTCGCTATAGTTTTCTTGATTGTGCAGTTATTTATGAAATAATTCATTTAATTGATAGTTAAAAGTTAAAACCTCTGACTTTGTTCGTATTGCTTTAGTATTGCTTCCTTATGATTACACGTCCTCACATTGTTCGCTTGCATAAACCTGCTCCTTTGACGTTATTATGTTATGTCTTTTGTTCCATCACGTTAGAGAATTCGGAAGCTGGGAAAAACACACGAAAGGAATCGGAGCAAAGCTGCTACTGCAGATGGGATACGAGCCAGGCAAGGGTATCGGCAAGAACAAACAGGGCATCGTGACACCAGTGGAAGCTGTCGTACGCAAAGGCAAGGGGGCAATAGGTGAGAGCCATATAGCCGTTATTATTCCTCTGAGTGGCAAAGCTAGTGGTGACTGGAACTACTTCCACTAGCTCATACTTAGTGAATCTTTGTTCCAAATTAGTAAAACATAGTTTATATTCCACTATGTGGCAGGACTAGTCATTAGTGAAACTACTTGGTCTTCTTCCATATTAGTGCAAATGACTTTGTATACCTTTGGCAGTGAACGATCATCACTGTTACTTGCATTACAATTTTAAGTGCCACAGTATAATAATATCATGCTCATCTTTTTGTACAGGAGCTTATGGTCCAGAGAGAAGCAGAAAGGCCAAGATTAGTCAGGAGGAAGGAGACGACCAGGAGGGTGGTATAGGGGAAACTCGTCAGTGGAAGAAACAAGCTGGTGTGAGTGTTTCCTCTATGTGAACTGTTTAAGCATGTTATAGCTAATCGGTGTTGTTCAATAAGTCAAGCTATACCATTGTCATTATCGGTCCTAGTGGTTACACTCTCAGTAAGAAACTCACTGATGCACAAATGTAAGGAAAGAAAAGCGGAACATTTCAGCATTTTTATTTTTCACGATTATCTGAACAAACTCTTGGCACAAAGTGCGGGACGAATTAACCATGTATATTCCCTGTCTTCACTGACTTCCATCCTGATCTTTACATTTACTTGGGACACAGAAGAAGAAAGCAAACTACAAATATAAGACTATAGAGGAGCTACAGGCATCTTCTGACAGGACAAGCAAGAAAAAACCAAGGAGTGAGTTGAGCCAGGTGAAAGTGATTGACTTGACTGGGAGAGAGCAGCGAGTCCTACACGGTAAGCTGTATTGTGTGTTGCACAATTAAGGATACGCATGTATAAATGGACATTTCTCTATCATTACAATTTGGAATAATTGAATTTTACACTCATTTTAACATGTTTAATGGGAACACATTGCTGTAATAAAGTGTGTCAGGGTTTGATATTAGGTTCCATCTTTTATAAGTTATGGTTTTTTATGGTATTTTTCTGTCTGAATTTTCAATCTCTTTTTCAGTTTTTTCCTCTTTTCTTTGGTAAATATAAAACTTAGAAGAAAAATACTGATGTGTGATTTTGGTGCATATTGTGTTTAACTTGTCGTGAGAATTTTACTTTCACACTGGTCATTGAGCAATATACAAAATGTCATTTTTACATGAAAATTCAAAATTAGTTTTGTTACATAATAAGGTGCTGGAAATTTCATGATATTTTTTGGCTTGAGCATAGAAATACATCTCGTCTATAAATAAAGTGTGTGATTGATTTGTTTCATTGGTCAATAAACATTTATTCTTCATTGGAGCAATACTCATGCAAAAAGCTTGAGTGTATCCTTAAGGGGAGCTAAAGGGAGGTGGGTACTATTTATAGATGGTTGGCACTAATATTAGTTTCTCTTTCAGCCTTGCAATCTATGTGTCCTATAGATGAACACTTATTTGTTGATTTTTTATTTATTCGTTAAAGTTGGTTTTAGGAATCTGCCCTGTTGATGAAGTATGATTGATTGATTGATTGATTGATTAATCACACTTTTTATCTGCTACGCTTTCTGTGAGCATGCTAAGTGAATTGGGCTCGTGATATAACATTGATAAATTTATTGTGGCATCTGACAGGCTATGATGCATTGGGGCGGAAGCACGACAAACCTGACGTGGAAGAAGAACTACAGGCAACGAGTGCTGAGAGGGCTTTTGAGCTTCCTGAACTCCTGCACAATCTCAGTACCCTCGTGTCAATGTCAGAGCAGGACATTCTGGAGGTAAGCCTGCATTTTTGCATCTGTTTGTCACCATCGCTCTGTTTCTGCCCTGTGTCGACTTCCCAATGGAAAGGTAAAAGAGGGCCGGTTCGAGCGCTACTTTGGCGCGTCTCGATTTCGTCATTACCTAGCTGGTTTCGGGGGTACCTAGATGGGAATCGGTATTATAGTGCCAAGTCATTCAGGTGTTAAATTGTGTGATGACTGCCCATCAGAGTTATCCAGCAATATCAACAAGTTCAGCCACTGAGCTGTTAAAATAGATGTGCCTAAATACTCAAATTTATCTTGCTTAATCTCTGCCCATCTCTAGCTGCTTGTAAAAATCGAAATCGCACTCAGCGTACATGTTTTTTTCGGTTCATTCGTAGAACGACCGAGAGCTGAGATACGAGCGGGACACTGTGGTGAATGTCACATATGAGGAGGAGAAGCTGTCCACTCTCATCGAGCAAGAAGCCCAGCAGCTGAAGCGGCTGAGCGAGATTGTAGACTTTGTAGAAAGGTGCGAGTGAGACCTTCACTCTCCGCCATCTTTCATCTTGCGCCAGTTCTTCTTCATTCTTCATGCTTTGCAAGTTCCTCGTCATCCTCCATCTTTCGTCAGTCCTTTAAGCTGCGCTTACACTATCGATTTTTGTCAGCAAATTGTACCGATTTCAAGTGCATTCCAACTAATCGGCTGAAATTCGATTGAGTTGGAGTCGGAGTCGGGAGTCAAGTCGCTGAGTTGGAGAAATAGAATGTGTTCTATTTTGCACGACTCGGACGATTTGCTGACAAAAATCGATAGTGTAAACGCAGCGTTATTGTCCTTAGTCTCTTGTCAGTCCTTTGTTATCTTTCATCTCACCTGAATTATGTGAATTCATGATAATACTTCATACACGTCATGATCTTATGCTCATCGACCAGCAGTCACATCCACTTCAGCAATATACGCTAAAGAAATAGTTTCATTCCTCTTCATCTCTCTTTTGTATCTTTGACTGATATTCTGCACATTTTTTGTAATTATCAGTTGTTATTTTTCTGAATGTCGAGTGTTAAGCAAATCGACTAAAAGTTCAAGGAAACGTATACTTGTTTCAACCTGAATTATATAACAATTCATATTCGTTACTGCGTCCGTATATTAAGCGTAGTATGTGTTAGTTCCTCTTATCCTCCAACATCAAAGGCACGTGTTTATTATCTCATTTATTCAGCCTGGAGACGAGAACACAAGAGGGCGCCACCGATCCGTTGACCCTTACTGAGTGCGCAGACATGTTCCGGACGTTTCAGGAGCAGTTCTTTGAGGAGTACAAGATGTATGACTTATCATCCTTGGCTGTGGCCATTGTCTATCCACTGGTGAGGTTAAATTAGAATTACATATCGGACACTATACCTAAGTAAACAAACCTCAGCGCATGTCATTCTACGTAATTGTTGTTCATTAGACCTAAGTATGTGGTGTAATCATGATAATAATGCAAAAATAGAGGCCAGTTTCTTTATGTCTTTGCTGTATTTAATAAATGTGGGTGGATCATAAGTACATAATTCTAATGTAAAACTGGCATATTTAATGATGCTTGCAATATTTGCATACAAATAAATGTATCTGGTATTGTATTTCAATGTTTAATAGGTGAAGAAGTTTTTAGTGGACTGGGACCCATTGGCAGACAGCACAATGGGATTGGAGGTTTTCAAGCACTGGAAAGATATTCTTGAGGATGGCAACAGGTATATTTCATGCCCTACCTTTCAGGTAATATGGTACCTGAGGGCATGTAAAAGGGCATAGGGAAAATATCATTTTGTGTGTATGAGCAAGCATGCTATGTTGATTTTTTTCATTCTGGTTTGGACAGGGTACAGTAATACTCTGTGTTATGATAACTCTGGTTACATAAATTCGCCGCTACAGTATTTGTAAGTTACGAAATTACTTTACTCATATTACAAAACGAAAATTTGCTCTTATGTAATATTTTAAAGGAATGAATGAGCTTTTCTAACCGAACTCTTTTTTTCCTATGTGATTAATGTTACAAAATTTCACATTATGATTGTTTTTCTCTGGAATGCATTACGTTTGTAATTGTGTATTACTGTAAGTAGAACAACACCAGTGTTGACACTGATTACTCTATGTATCTGGCACTTCTAGACTGTTTGGGCAAAGTTTGGAGAACATGGATAGCTATCAGCAGCTGGTTTGGGAGATATGGATGCCTATTATCAGGACCAGTGTCATGTAAGTAGTGATCTTTTGTTAATATTCAACAAACAATTTCGCATACAATATACAAACAAATACATAACAACACATAAAACACATGAAATTTTGTCAATCAATAATGATACAACAATTAATAATACCACACTTACCGATGAATTTTATGTACCAACATTGAATATAAAAATGAATTTGTTAAAAATATCACACAGAACTAGTAGTGTCTGAATCAGGTAAAGGCTTTGGTTTACCTAATAAGCCATACCAATGTGTATTTCAGGCGGTGGCAGGTTAGGGAGCCTGAGCCACTAATTGAGCTCGTGGAAAACTGGATGCCTCTGTTACCCACGTGGATTCTGCACAATGTGTTGGATCAGCTCGTTATGCCACGTCTGCACGCCGAAGTGACGAGCTGGAATCCACTCACCGACACGATGCCCATACACGCCTGGTTGCACCCGTGGCTCCCTCTGATGGGTGCGTGTGCGATAGATTCCATACTCACTTTCCTAATCCATTATTCACTGTCCAGTCAATAATGTGCATGATTATGGGTGCCTTCCTAGATGCATCTTTGTACGATATATAAACTTGTGTCTATATATAAACATATATGTAAACTTGTGTCTGCCATCCATAGTAACACTCATGCTTACAATAAAGCCTCATTATTGCTACCATTGAAGGTAAGAGACTGGAGCCACTGTATGCACCCCTCAGAAACAAGCTTTCAAACTGCCTCACAAACTGGCATCCTAGCGACCCATCTGCTCGGCTGATGATCCAACCCTGGGTGAAGGTGTTCTCTCGCGGGACCATGGATGCATTCCTGATGCGGTGAGCAAAGAACTTGCGCCTGAGATGCATTTTTGATTCAGTAGAGTGAATGTGAGCTTTCGTTGAACAGAGATAGTGAAGGGGACAGAAGCATATGTGTGGTTAAGGGCAATGTATTTGTGTGAGAGTGAATTTACTCTATTCGAAGTAAACCGTTTCCTGTAGATTCTCTGGGAACTTGGTGATGCTCTTGTTGCATGACGTGTTACTTTCGTAAATGTAATAGAAGAGTATGCGTAGCAGGTACTAAATATGTTACATTTACACCATTCCATAGGTGCATTGTGCCAAAGTTGCAACTTGTAATGCAGGAATTCGTTATAAACCCACACCAGCAACATCTAGGTGAGTTACCAGTACCATGAAAACAGGATTGCCAAAAAAAATATAATGGCAGGTGCATTATATGGTTATCACTATTTTAAGATGTGCATGCCATACTTTATGATGAATTATGACAAGGTGTATGTGTGAAAAAACCATTTTTGCCATGGCTGTTGTTATGCAGTAACACAAAAGTTTTTATCCTATTCATACATGCGTGGTAATCGATTTTCATTCAACATGGGAAAAAGTTACTCAGCAATTTTCATTTTATTTTACCAAATGACACTGAGTGTGTGGTCTGTGTTGCTTCACAGATGGTTGGAACTGGGTAATGTCGTGGCAGGACCTTCTTCCCAGCTCATGCATTGTCAACGTTCTGGAAAAGCACTTCTTTTCAAAATGGCTTCAGGTGGGTCTATGTCTGCCCCTATTTATAAGCAGCTGCAGATTTGTGCCCGACTTGCCGAGCGTTTTTGTTTTGTGCTGCATAATCTGCACGCCTGTGGGCATAAAACTGCTGTGCATGAAATTACAAAGTACCTGCATATTCACCCTTTCCCAAGCCCCTACCACCAACCCCACTGCAATTACATTATTTTCAGTGTTTAATTAAAAGTTTAAAGATATTGTGCATTAATTAATTCCATTAATATTATTTATGTTTAATGTGTGAACAAAAGTGTTAAAAAGTTCATGCTTTTGACTAGGCTGCCTTTATAGTAATGTTGTTGAATAAAGATTGACATCTCCAGTATAAATGCATTATCGAGTTACATAAGCATTTGCCATGCTCCACCTGTCCACCTGCTCCACCTGCCTGTTGTGTAGGGATAGCAATTGGCCAAGATAGAAGTAGTACTTAATGCAACACGTGTTTTGCATGATTTCATTCCGCAGGTACTGTGTTCGTGGTTGAACAGCAATCCAAACTACGAAGAAGTAACCAAATGGTACATGGGCTGGAAGCGTATGTTTAGTGAGCGCCTCTTGAATGATCCGATCATAAAAGGTGTGTGTAGGACCTTGTGTTTTGCTCCTGGCTCTGTCGTGAGTGACCTGTTGTACGGTGCTACCGTTGACACATCCCACCTTTAGAGAATGAAAAACAAGCTGAAGCAATAGTGGCAATTTCACTGTATTATCTGTTGGAATACAGTTGGTATAAAAAATGTTTACTGCATCAAAAAGTGAATTGTCATATTGCATTTGCACCTAATTCTGTAATGAAAACAACAATGGTAGCTTGTGTCCTGACATAACTTCAAGATGTGTCTGCTTAAGGATAAACTGTAATCATGTATAGTATGTCAATTACAGTTCATTAACCTTAAATCTTACAAAGCTAAATTAGGCAATCTCTTCAAGAGCCTCTAAAACCACCAGAGGAACCCTAACCACATCATCTGCAGCGCTGTACATCTAACATTCTGCTGTTGCTGACAATCGTGTTAATTTTTCACAGAAAACATTAACCGTGCATTGGACATCATGAACCGATCCGTGACATCACCAGGTCTGGCCGCTTACCAGCCAGGTGCCAGAGAGAACATAGCCTACCTGTACCAAACAGAGAAATTGGAGGCAAATGCTTCTGGCAAGAAGAAAACTGAATACGAGGCACGTGTGCATTTCATGCCGATATGCCTGTGCAGATGCACGTGTTCATATGTGCATATGAATACCTGTTTGTAAAGCTATGCCCATTAGTGTATTGTCAAACCTGTGTTAGTGAACACGGAGCCATTGTCAGAATCATTGTGAAGTTAAGGCTACTGATAAAAAGCTAAGATAGCACTTAAGACTAATGTTTCTGTTACAAGAATAGCATTGTACAAGAATAGAACACTTGTAGGTTCTCTAGGCTGATCCTTTTATGCAGGTTTGACTGTAGATGATCCATGTGTGTATTTATATAGATTTACGTTTCCAAATAAGAGTCTGTTGGTCTTCCCTTTTCACTGGTATGTGAAGCACCCGTAGCTTTATATTTCTAGATTTGCTACATGTGTACTAAGCAGACACCTGTTCGCAATTTTTCAGGCTATCATGAGCAGCTCATCACTCTCAAGTTCCGTGGCACCCTCTAGCTTCAGGGATATTGTTGAGCGTCGTGCAGAGGAGAGCGGTATATTGATGATGCCGATTCCAAACAAGACGCAGGAGGGAAAACCAGTGTACAGATTTGGCAATGTGCAGATGTACATAGACAAGAACGTGCTGTTTGTGAATGAAGATGGGCGCTGGGGCCCACGGTCCCTAAGCAGACTGATCGAACTGGCTACCATGCCACCAGTGTAGTGCAGGCCCAAGGGTCATGCAAACACTCTACTACCGGTGTAACTCGGGCCTAAGGACCATGTTACCAGTCTGCCACCAGCGTGGCGCGGGCCCGGGGAGCGTGCGACCAGTCTGCCACCAGCGTGGCGCGGGCCTAGGGAGCATGCGACCAGTCTGCCAGCTACGCACCGTCGATTTGGGAAGTTCAAAACGTCCTGGCACTAGTTCAGCAACAGCAATCTCACCTACGTGACGACTGCCTGTCTCAGTGTGTAAATAGCCCCGCAGCCTTCTACCTACCTGTGTAGTGCAGAATTGACAATCGTACGCCATCTACAACCCTCCGACTGGTGAATCACTCACTGAGCGTTAAGGGTCTACGTTGTAAACTGTTTAATGCTCGTCGTCGTTTATGTCAACAAATGATGCCTTTTCAGTCGGTTGCATTTGCCATTTTCTGGTTTATTTTTTAACCATTAATGGATACATGCCTGCTTTCAAGGTTTATCCTATAATAAGTAGGTACGTGTGATCCACGGGGTGGATAAGCTGTGCTTGATTGATTTTATTAATGTCATTTAAATATGCAATGACTTTGCATATAAGGTTTCTACACCTTCTGTAAGCTTCATACATATAATACATAAGTCTTATTAGCTAAGTCACGTCCCCTGTTGGATTGCTTCTAAATGGTTCATACCCTCTCATCGTGCAACATACAAAACTGTTCTGTGTAATAAATAAAATCAAAACACACTGCAACTGTTTAGAAATTCTATATTACATCATTTAAATATCATTAGCATTGTCCATTTGCTCACCCAGTTCAATGGCACATAATTTACAAACAACACAATTTGCACGTGCACAAATGCAACTGATTATTTATGTATATACATTATTTACATAGTTTACATTGCTAGCATACCTTTTCCATAGACTGGTACATTTTATCGAATGTTACAGAAACAGACAAACACGCATTTACTTCAAAACAACATAGAAATGTAGATAGCATCATGGACTCGCGTGAAAGCGAGGCTCTTGCAAGCATGCTAGTCTACTCTGCCAAATTTTGGCAAACCAGAACAATCGCGTTTGTTTTGGCCACTGTGAAATTTACTGGAACGACAAGTAAACGACCACATTGATAAATAGAAATATGATAATTACGTACACACCTGCATCCGCTGCCTACCCGATAGTTTGTTTCTCAGAAAGGAATTATGAGAACCTTATCGGTTTAACAGCAATCCAACTTCCGAGTACACCTGAATTTGCACGACAGCAAGCGTTTGATTACAAACATGACGATGTGCATACATACATAGAGCAAATAAGTTCCTTCCACTAATTTTCCAGTAAACGTCCCAGTGGCTGACCCCCACCATTCACTTAATTAAAACTTCCTCACTGACACGATTGCAACAGCATTCGTGCCTCTAAAACTGGCGCTCAGGTGTCAACATGTAGGCATTACCTAGCCAACGCAGTAGGTTGCAAGTACCAAATGACGATGAAGCAGCTATTGACATTTACAATTGCTATTACTGTTAATAAATTATAGTGTTTTCTCCTGTTAAAGTCCCAGCGCTTCAATAAAATCTCCATATTAGCCTCATAGCAATTTAGGTTACACAAGTCTGCCTCTTACTAATATCTTTTACGATGACGCTAAATCTGTATAAAACAATAAACATACAATAGCTGACATGTTAATAGATGTCGTGCGTTAAGCATTTCCTACCAATCCCTGGACATGAGCTTAAAACGATGCTGACATGTAAATTATGAGCAGATGTAAAAGCAGGAAATCAACAATCACAGCTATCTCACGACCAGCTTCAGGTGATGGATGAGTCAACTGCAAGTCGCACTTACATAGATGACTGTGCACTTTTCATTATATCAAGAGTGCATAATAGAGATCTCTATTATGCACTCTTGATTATATAGATACAGGCAAGGATATAAAAGACAATGAATATCCTTGCAACCTCGGAATAAATCACAACCGTCATGTAATGATAGCATCTACTCTCAGCCCACAGTGAGCAGCAGCGCTTTAGTATTAGTGTTAAAACATCACCTTATTTAAGTGGAATAGTTCATCCATATATATCACACGGTACAAACATGAAACCATTATCCCGAGAAATTCACGTTAAATGAGAAATCATTACTCAATAGCTGGCTGGAAATCATATCCCAACCAGCAACTGAGCCAATTCAATAACATACTACAGCAACAATAACTCTAGTTTACCTAAAGAAACCTTAGCCTTTACTGTCGTGATTCTGGCTATAAAGGATAAAGCACATACCTTTTTGAAAAAAAATTCCTAATTAACAAACCAACTAACTGATTCTGTCTAAATTTCCATGTAGCTCTAATCAATGCATGCAATATATGATACCTTGCTCTTTGTGACATGTCATAATACCACCCAGTTATTCAATTTTAGAACCAGACGCATTATAATGGTTTATTCTAAACATGATTAAATATAGACTTCAGTAAACAGCAAACACTAGGCAGATATCTTTTAGCATTGCGAATGCAGATGAACTTAACGTGTGGATCTGCAAACAATACGTGCTGCCAGACAATTCAGCAAAATTAGCAACCATGCAATTTATATCCCCAAATAAATTGTATAAATAAGGAGCACTAACAGTCAGCGGATAGGATGCCGGTTGTTCCATCTGATTAAGATCATTAAAACCACTGATAATCAAAAGTTTCTCATCTATGAGTAATAATCAATATCCATACATACATGTATATTTGTGTGTATATATTTATATCTATATTGATATCGATATCTATAGGTATAGATATAGATATATAGCATGGGTATTTAATAGCAACACATATACGTTAGTTAACTTTACGCATAGGGAAGCAGGTGGCTTAGTGGTGATTTCTACAGATGTAATTCAGTTTTGTTTAGTCTGGAACAGGTACGTAACATCTAATGCCTCCCTACTGCACGAAGAGCAATTTCATTATTTACAACTTGAACTGAAGGAATACTTCATGATACATGCAGAAACGCAAAGGCTCTCAGTTCACAGTGTGACTAGCAAAATTTATATCATTTTATCACTAACTATGTGACTAGAGAAAGCACCAACAATACAGACCATGCGTGGGTCCCATACACGTCACATTCGTTATAAGACCCGATGGAAAAGTTACACTCAAATCTACATCATAATCATCGTGGCCTTAAGCAGCCATAATAAGGACCTGTATATTCACAGAACCTCGCGTTACTCAGCTACCCGTGTTTACTGTTCAAACACAGAGATGCTGGACAACTGCAACACACAGAGCAATCCCTGATAGATTGGAGCAACTGTCCACCAAGTGTTTACCGAGACAACTTCTCATACTGTGATGAATTCTAGCGGTCGTTTGTTGTTAGCACTGGTACTTGCCGCCTTACATAATTTCAGTGTTTTTCTTTTAATCATCTCCCAATCGACGTGACTAAAGTCACGCATGTCTTTGCCAAACATGTGCAGCACTTGCCCGATTTACACACACCTTGGGCACGATACACACGCACTTTGGTGGGATTAATCAAAGCTCTAGACAAAAAGTTGGCGTGGCAACAACCAGGGGCCCGTTGTCAGAAAGAAAACACAACTATTAAAATTAGTTTTAATTAGTAATAACTTTTCCTCATAGACGGTTGCCAGAAACATGATAAAGTTACGAGTTTCTCATAAGCAGTGTATAGTTGTCTAGTTTATAAGAGAAAGTTCATGTAAAGACTAATTTCGTTTTTGACAACAGGCTCAATGGCTCTGGTATAGGATGAACATTACTGAAGGCAACGTTTCACGCTTCCTTGTTGCCACGACTCGCCAGCTCTGCTAACTGGCAGAAGGTGATGACGACGACACGTCTGCACGTCATAATGGGTTAACGATGTGCTTGGTCATTACTCGACAAGTACATATACAGGCTATACATCTTTTACATGTGCAAATAACAAACGTCCCAATACATTAATGCTGGGTTATCTGGTTATGATGGGACACACTATTTCTGAATACACACAGTGAGTGATAATTACCACCAACATCTGATGATACATGTAAATAGCACGTGACATTATACAAAGTGAACATTATAGATCCGTTTTAAATTAATATGCTTTGTTTGTATAAGTACGAAAAGACTTAAAACGGTGTCGAGTTACCTAGTGAATGCACTAAATACCATATCTTCTGGCTATGGCTTTCGTACAATGGCTGCAGGCAAAATATTTTTGAATATGACCCACATTCATGCAACATCTGAAACAGCAACCAACAAGAAATGTGCAACAGTATTTCCAGCCTGATCAATGTCAAAATCAAATGCTCCCCCCAATCAAGTGCGCATAAAAAGATACATCAATCGCACCGCGGTGCACAGCACACCCCCGATGTGTTTCCCCCATGATTAACAACTAACACTGATTGCGTTCACATGATTAAGTACCACGGGACATATGTCATACACATTCGCGTGTGCGCATGTGTACCATGGAATAGTGGCCGGCCCAGCAGCGGGGGATTCGCAACGGAAATATGGACGACGGAGAGACAGATGACCACGCGAGTCGTTGTCGTCGTCGGCGGCGGCAGCGCAGGGTCTCCGCATTTCGTGAACACTCACCGCAGCCCCGGCGGAGGGAGCGAAGAGAGCCGGCGTAGCTGTCACGCGAGCTCACCGCTGCGACACGTGTGATGGGTCGAAGGTCGCAAGGTCAGCCACAGGGCACGTACCGTTCGGGGCGCAAAACGAGGTGACCTCCGCGGCGTGACTAGTCGCCAGCGTTTGTGGCATGGTGGCGATGGATGGCAGGCGGCGGGTGCGCGTCATGCGCGCATCGTGCGGCGGGTGCGCTTCATGCGCGCGTCGTGCGGCGGGTGAGTGCGTGCGCGCGTCGTGCGGCCGGTGCGTGCGTACGCGTGTCGTGCGGCGGGTGCGTGCGTGCGTGCTCGAGGAGGTTCGACACGTTCAAGCTGGACCGCTGCTAGCACTCTGTCGTCTTTGGTACGCACGTACTCATATGTAAATGACCATTGGCCATACCACCGTTCATCAGCTGGTAGCCACTGCTCTTGCTCGTCGTGCTACTGCTGCCCTTTGACGAGCCCTTGCTACCATCGCCCGACATGCTGATTGCACTGTTCCTCCCCGACAGAGGGCGCTGCTCCTCGTGCGGAGACGTGTCGCCGAGTTGGCCCATACAGTTATGACAGTCTTCCTGCGGCGTATTCTGCATGTTCAGCGATTCGTCCGAATGGCGACTGTGCAGAGATATTTCCTCGAGTTCCCCTATCTGAGCGCCAACTCTGTCGTCGTACTGACAGTCTAGCAGCGAGTGCTGCTGCTCTTTCAAGTACTCCTGGTCGTAGAACGATTGCTCACGGAATGATACAGGGAGGTCATCTCGCAGAATCTCGATGATTTCAATGAATGTCGGCCTCTGCTTTTGGCTCTGCTGCCAGCACAGCTTCATTAACTCGTAGCTGAAAGGCCGAACGACAAAATTGTCATTAATGCATTCGACGTTCTCGTGTATCTGCATTCACAGAAAAACTTGCTTAGCGAAAACACAGCAGGTGCACGTAAATCCACGCACAAGCAAACACATGATTGCAAAGACAAATAGGTTATGTCAACAGAACTGCACACGCGTACACACGCCTGCATCCATACAATGTCATATGGGCGCACCAACTACACATGTCTGTGTTCACGTGCACACACACATTTACACACGCCTGCACAAAAAGAAATGTACCACGTTAATCATGATAACTCTGTGACCCATTTACATGATAAATTCCTACTTTACGAACACACATAAATGTATGAACTTGAATAGCAATAACCTCAAATAATTTCAATATCCGCTATTATTATATTTACTTGTGTATTGTACACCTTGAAGAGAAGATGAACAAGTGCACTTGGTTGTTCGTATCTTTTAATATAAATATATAACAAGTAGATGTACTTACAACTGATCAGGACAATCTTCTGGCTTATCCATGATACCTCCACTGATAACATACTTCAACACTTCCTCATTTGATAATCCCTGATATGGCTGGGATGCTAGAGTTGCCATTTCCCAAAGCACAACCCCATACGACCTGAAAAGCAAGTTCTCTTTTAGCAAATTCCCAGACACTCACACCATGTAAAATGCACATAATTAAGCAAAACTAATGTAAAATAGCTATTCCCCTCATTTGAAAAAAGTTTGAATATATTCCAGAAGTATTTTATATCTTCTACGCAAAGGATTTGTACTTTCAAGAAGTTTTGTTGACTGCAACTATATATATCTTTTATAGTATAATGCTTACTTATTCATCGTATCCAACTTTACACGATTGGAATTATATTAATGTTTGTCCATTTCAGCATGTGATGATTCATATGCACGCAAAATTCTTTATTTAAAAAAACACAAGGATCTACAAGATATCTGTGCTGACATAACATGTGATAAGATAGAAAATCTGATTTGGGTGTTTGGCTATTGGACCCATTCACAGTTCAAATGATGTTAAAATCCTGAATTGGAAAACAGATACCTTATTTTCACAACTGGGAACCTTTTTTTAGTAATACTATATCTTATTCATTAATTTTACCAAAGATAACAGCTAAAATTCATAATAGGTTCAATTTTCCCAAAATAAATTATCAAGTAATAAACACAAATTACCCACTAAAGTAGTAAAGACTAATTTATAATAATATTTCTAAAACATAACATAACACAATAGTTTTTATTAATAGCAGCTCGATTAGATTATGTATGATTAACTACGCATAATTACCAAACATCCGATTGTGAAGTGAACACCCCATCCTTCAACGATTCTGGTCCCATCCACCGAACGGGAAGTAAACCCTTACCTCCCTTTCGGTAGTAATCAGTTTCATATATGTCTCTGGTCATGCCAAAATCTAGAAAAATTCAAACAGTCCTAGTGTTAGTTTAAATATTGAGATCCTCATCTGTAATCAGTATCACATCTAATTAACAGTTGACAGCAACACCAAAACCAGCCAGCACCAAATAAGCAACATACCTATGTAACAATCAGAAGACAGGCTGACCACCCTGACAAAAATACAATCAATAGCTACACACCTCCGATCTTGACAGTGAGGTCAGATGCAACCATGCAGTTTCTAGCTGCCAGGTCCCTATGAACAAACTTCTTCGCTGACAAGTAAGCCATGCCATCAGCTATCTCCCCGGCCCATCCTAGAAATTCACGGTCGGTGGGCGGTTCACGATTATGTTTTGCGTTCTGCAAAAAAATTGGTGGCGTTGAAATGCCAAGCAGTTCAACGTACAAACGTATCAGTTTCGATGTACTAATGTTCAAGCGCCGATGTATTAATGTTGAAGTGTTGACGCACAACATTTACGTGTAATGTACCAATGTCAGTGGCGACGGCACACGAACATACCTCAATTTCGGGGCGATGCATACGCAGATAAGTCTTTAAGTCACCGTTACCCATAAGTTCCATGACAACGAGTGTAGGCTGCCCTATGGATACCACACCCAAGAGTTTCACAACGTGGTGACAGTTGAAAGCTCTGGAATAACAAACAATCAACCGATGATCCTTTAAGAATAAAAATCCTCTCCCGGTGAGTGGGAGCACCTGGAATGCAGTTTGGCTCAAAAGTGTGCCTGCCACAAATGTGCCCTGGGCTTGTCTTTAGGAGCTAGGTGCACAAGAATTTGCAAACTTACTTCATTACAGACGCCTCCTTTAGGAACTCTATCCGCTCTCTGATAGAGGCCGACTCGTTAACGGTCTTCACAGCACAGCGAGTCTTCTCGTTAGGCAGCACTAGATCCTTCACCTCTCCCTCGTACACCATACCGAATGATCCCTGCCCAAGCTCACGGATTAGATTGATCTTATCACGTCCGACCTCCCACTCGTCAGGATTGTAGACTGCAATTATCAAAAAAGTTGTTTAACGTTTTTACAAAACAGGTTTACAGGGCTAGATTGTTCTAAATGCTTCAAATGCATCTTCATTATCATATACGACAGCAGTGACTAAGCCTTTTACCGAACTAGAAAGGGCAGTTGTCGCCAACTACATGTATCCCACGTGATCTAGTATGAATGAAATATCTCTGTAAGAATGTAGAAGGTAGGTCAAGTTAAATAAGTCACAAAGACAAAGGTTTGTTACACAACTCATCTGCCTGAGATGTGCAAGTATGTTAAAATTGGTTGCGTTATGGGTTTTGGTACGCGACACACCTTCTCCCCAAGATTTGTAAGTATACGAAGTTTGCTCTCGCTAGGTCAATTAGGGGCCGAGTTATAGAGCAGAAGGGAAATATGATGAAGGTCAAGGTCAAGGTAAAATAAAGGTTGCAGTGACCTGGTTTCGGTACACGACACACCTTCTCCCCAAGATGTGTAAGTATACCAAGTTTGGTCGCGCTAGGTCAATTAGGGGCCGAGTTATAGAGCTGAAGGGAAATATGATCAAGGTCAAGGTCAAGGTCAAATAAAAGCCGCAGTGACGTGGTTTTGGTACGCGACACACATTCTCCCCAAGATGTGTAAGTATACCAAGTTTGGTAGCGCTAGGTCAATTAGGGGCCGAGTTATAGAGCGGAAGGGAAATATGATCAAGGTCAAGGTCAAGGTCAAATAAAGGTCGCAGTGACCTGGTTTTGGTACGCGACATACCTTCTCCCCAAGATGTGTAAGTATACCAAGTTTGGTAGCGCTAGGTCAATTAGGGGCCGAGTTATAGAGCGGAAGGGAAATATGATCAAGGTCAAAGTAAAGGTCGCAGTGACGTGGTTTTGGTACGCGACACACATTCTCCCCAAGATGTGTAAGTATACCAAGTTTGGTAGCGCTAGGTCAATTAGGGGCCCGAGTTATAGAGCGGAAGGAAAATATGATCAAGGTCAAGGTAAAGGTCAAATAAAGGTCGTAGTGACCTGGTTTTGGTACGCTGCGCACCTTCTCCCCAAGATGTGTAAGTAGACTATGTTTGGTCATGCTAGGTCAATTAGGGGTCGAGTAATAGAGCGGAAGGGAAAGTGTCTGCGGCGGCAGCGGCTGGACAGAGATGAAACCATAGTATAATACAATAATGCCGAACCTTCCATACACGTATGTTATATCTTCTATATCAGCCTTTACTTATATGCATTAACATGGCAGCTTTCTGGCTGTGCTTGCCATGTTAATTCTAGCTGCATGCTGGATAGCCAGCTGCGATCTAGCTAAAAGTAAGAACACACGTTACACTAACAGAGTTGGCTTCAATTAGTGCCTACGTGTACATAGAAATCAACCTCTGTCCAGTTGCCAAAAATGTTCCTGGATAGCCTACAAACAAGGCTATGTTCCAAGAGCTGTTACTTTATTTGATTGACATTATTAACAGAGTGCATTGCATTAGAGCATCAACAACAGTGACTGTTTAGTGCAAGAAAACGAGATTTCATGGGAAAAAAAAGATATTAGTTACTTACCATCTGCGGAGCTCATGTACTCAGGGTTGATGCTGGTGATGAGTGAACCGTTCAGAAGCTCGTGTGCTCTGTACCTGAAACCAGAAACACATGTTTCCTAATAACCACTGGTGGCAGAGACAATGTGTGTAATAAATAACACTGCCTGAACGCCTTGATGAACAATACTTTATGAGTAATGCAAGCTGTGATAACTACGTGCAGAAAATCTCAATAAGAATCTCGTTCTAATATTATTAACAAAAATTCACACTTTTCCTACATAGACAATTCCAGCACATATCTTTTTTTTATATCAAACAGAACTGCTTACACATATACACTGGATTTAACACCTCGGCCTTGTTAATGGCCTGACAAAGAAGACCAAAACCATCCTAAAAATTTACGTATGTAATACTAAATAGGTATGAGACCTTTAGATCGGTGTGTTCATACCTTTTCTTAGCAAAAACCCATATAGCTGTTGTTATAACCAATAAGCCAGCAATGCCCACAGCACAGGCTATTGCAACAATGATTTCAACTGGTAGTCCATGGGCTTTCTGAACAATGAAGTATCTGAGAAAAGTCAAATTTGTGGGTTACCACTACTGAAATGCACGTATACACTTAGACTTCGTAAAATGATCTATAGGCAGAAATACACTGGATATATTGTGTAAACAGAGACCACATGCAACAAACACACATGGTACACCACCCAGCCATTCGTTGGAACAAAAATACCGGAAAAATAGAATAAAATATATTCAAGTAAAATACAAGAATAATATAGCAATTTCCAGGAATTAAGCAGGGAGTTGTACAGTAATACCTTGCATTACAATAACTGAAATAATGTAAATTTGCTCACATGGACTATGTAAATTATGAAAACTAAACTGGCAATATTAAACATAAATTCACTCTTATATAATTTTTATAATACGTTTTTCCCCAACGCCCAAAGATTTAGTGTGCTCATTTCCTGTAAGTAAATTATTGTAATACATATGCAACTAGCTGCTAAAAGTCACGCGGGCCAGTTTTTAAATGTCTCATCAGCTAATTAGATAGCTTCCCATGCTGAGACGAGAAGCATAGGCTTCACATTCAGTGTATGAAATGTGCATGCTCCTGCAATCAGTGTCCTGAATCCAGTGCAGTCCATGTACAGGACACTAATTCATAGTCTGAACATCCTTTCCTGTGTTACTTCATACAATCAATATGTTTGAAAATATTTACTTGCATTCATAATTTGGATTGTATTAGGGGAGATCATATAAGTATGTATTTTTTCCCAATTATATAATAGAAGTCAACTGTAAAATCCCGATTCACATTGCAGAACTTTGCATTACTAATTATTTTCCTAAAACATTAAATCCGTGTTACTGTATACACGTTCACCATACAACCATGACGGGTCACAGATGACGTGTCACACAACCATGAAGCCACCATTAACAATATGTCTATTGGGTGTAACACAAATCTAAAAAAATTACAAGGTAGGTAGGGGTTTTTGACTTTGTAAAACCAAACATATATTAACAACAATGGTCGTCTGCTATTTTAAATGCGAGTTCCATCAATTTCCCCTGAATTTCTGCACAAAAAGCACCAAAAAAAGTTAGGAATGTCAAAAAAGGTTCATATGGGAGATTTGTTTTCGCATGGTCACAGCAGTCATTTTTAATGGCGGCTTGAGGAGCCCACAGTATCTCACCTTTGTTCCGTCCAGTACGTTGTGTGGTCTTGGTATGGCAGTGTTCCTAGGGAGATGATACCTAGCTGAAAGGAATAGTTTCCTTCACCTCGGTAGAGAATGATCCCTCCATGTGCAAAAATCTGGCTTTTTGTGAAGCAACTCACTGCAGTTGTATTCTGAAACAAAAACACGTTACTAGCAGGATACATAATAGCTGTTAGTGACACATACATGCTAAATAATAAACATTGCTCTGTAGTCACTATTTTGAGAGAACGTGGGACCTTTCTCTGTAAAATATTAACCCAATGCATGTACCTTACACGATGCACGTGTACTCGGACCTGGTGATTCTCTCAGAAGATTTAAATTTTGTGGACCCAGCTACTTCTGACATCTGATAAGCCCCATTCCCTATTAGAAAATGCACAGCACATTTCGCATACCGACGAACTTGCTCCATCCATGAATTTCATCGAGTATCCCAAAATGACACCATTTGGCTGAAGAGGATCCGTCCACTTGATGATTACGGTGCTCTTCATTGAGGAGCTAGAAGAGTTCACCAACACCTCGATAGTCGAGTTGATCAAATCCGCATCGGCTGAAAATGTGCAACGATTATGAATGAACACAAACAAGAATGTGAATAGCAAGTACTTGATGCACAACAATGACCCACTGTTAACGATTCATTTTCCCATGACAACGGTTACCTATGTCTTTTTTATTTAGCTATCTAAGAATGCAATATATATATATATATATATATATATATATATATCATAGCATGTTTATATTACTATATACATGTTTACATATAAATATGTATATGGGGTAAACTTATAGCACATACCTTTCGGGAGTGTATTCCCGGTAGTCATGGCAATTGTTGAACAAAGCTTAGTGCCTGTATCTTTATCATACGCATGGCATGCCCTCACCTGTGATCATACAAAAATTCAAATTTATCAAAAACACACTAAAAATGTATGCAATAGCATAACCACACTAAATATGTATAGTTTATTAGGTGTCAAATTATTATTGCTTAAAGTAACCATTGCGAGAGTTTTCCAGTGTTTTCACCACTTTCATGACACCTACCGTTATTGCTTGAGTAACAGCAATTGTCTAGAGTAACAATAAAATGTCTTAGAACCTTCGTATTCACCGAAAACTGCCAGTTTCGAACTAATCGTTTTTGTAAACATTCGTTTTCTCTCATCTTGAACTAACAGGAAGTATGGATTAGCTTGTGCGCCACCACTTATCTGCCATAAACATGTACAGGCATGCACTTGTTTTCAATTCATCACCGACACAAATACAAGTTTACCAATTCTGCCATTAGGCATTATCGGCATACGATAAAATTTATTGCTGTTACGATGTGGTCAAATTCATTTTTCTATGCTATAACTGCATAAAATCTTAGTATTTTTATTTGTGTAATCAGTGATATTTCCGCTGTCAGGTGAGACTATATTCAGCTTTATTTCGTTTTTTCTGAGCAAAAATCTCGCAATAACCGTTTTAAAGTAGGCTTAACTGATAAGTTGATGTAAAACTGAAGTCCGAGTTGATGTAAACCGTCACACCTCACTTATACTATTACTGTCTTCATATCATCACATACAGACGAGGACGTCTTACCTCTATCGTATAAAACGTAAAGTGGTGCAAGTTCTCCAGTTCCACGGCCAGGTCTTTTGTAACTAAAGTTGGCACCTCCTCCACTTTGGTTTCGTTTCCAATGGGCACCCCATCATCATCGTCAGTGACAGCATATGTCTCGTTGATGGATACGCTGAGCTCTGTAGGCACAGCGCTGTCACGCCTGTCCATCGGAGAGATCTCGCGCCGCCGCCTGTTTGGTATGGCCGTTGGGAACTTCGTCTCCGGTGAGACTATTCTATCATATTCGCTTCCGATGTCCCTGCAAACAAAGGCAACGCCGTGCAATACCCACTCCACTTGCATTGTCTCTCCGTCCACACAGAATATAGCACATTACTAAAACATTTGGTGCCAGAATCCTCAAGCCATGTTTAACGTAGAAGTCTTATGCTTGCCGCACACTATCCGATTTTGCACTGTGCACAGCACTAACGCCCCGCACACTATCCGACCCGATCCCGATCGATCGGGCGGCCACCGCACACTGTCCGACTCAAAGTTGACGCAAACCATGGCACTCTCGTGGCGCTCCAAGCGGATTTAGCGTGTACTAAGCGTCGGGAGTGTTTCCCATGGTTCGAATGCCATTCCATTCGAATGCGGTTCCCATGGCGCAGCTCTGTGATTGGTCAATTTTCTTCAGCGCTCGTCGATCGGGTCGGATGGCCACGCACACTATCCGAGTCGCGTCGTAAGCCCTCGCACACTATCCGACCCGATCTGCTCCCGATTCATAATTCGAATCGGGCCAAAATGACCTCCCGAGCCAATCTTAAGCCTCCCGAGCCAAACTAGAACATCTCGATCCAATCGTAAGCCTTCAAATCGCGCTCGGGTCGGATAGTGTGCGGCTAGCATTATTCTACAGAGCTCATCATACTGACCAGCTCTAACAATGAAGAGGTTTTTTGTCTCAGCACAAAACGTAATCCCAGCACTTTTAACAACTGCAACATGCTAGCAGTGTTAAAAAAAATCCTTCCCGCGCCTATATGGCGCATAGGACGGTGCCTATCTCCGTTTCAGTAACCCTGAGGCCCCGCAGCTGCGTTCACAGTAAATGCTACAGTAGAGGGTTAGTCCACTGGTAGGCTAGCAGTGTTAGATTAAGTTTTATTTTGTGTTCTCTCATTGTTATTAACAATCATACACATGCAGAAAGGATGGCTAGTGTCACCTGGAAGCTCTACACAACTTCTATCAGATAAGACAAAAGGGCATTGGGTTGTGACTTGTCATTGCATGCTAGTTATGGAATACAAAAAATTGAGATCCACCAGGTTTAACAAGATATGGTACTCCATGGAAGACAGCTTGCTGATAGCAGTTCATTTTCAGGGAGGATATAAAATACCTTTTCTGGTACACCATATTGTGTAGAAAATTTTCAAACACAATCTGGTTGGTTTTCTCCTCTTCTGCTGGTGTTTTCTTCACGGGCTGATCACAGTCACAGACTGGACAATCACCATCTGTGCCTGTGGGCGTCGTCGGTTTCGGTATGGTGGGCACTTGAGGTGGGGTAGACGTCTCCCCATCTGAATCATGTCCTATATTTATACAATTAATACAACCACTATAATGTAATCTTCCTCATAATTTAATCATCACGTAATTTGTACTAATAGTGAACTGAACTGGTATAATTGTGCACCTGGGCATTGGATAGTTGCCAAACGCTATTGACTACGGCTACCACCTTGCAACAACTAACCATGCAAGCTATACAAGAACAGAATGAAAAGAAGAAATGTGCAGTCATCTACTTGTACGTGCCACATACAGTTAATACAAGAAATCTGAAAGTCCCGACTGCTGTTTTAAACTTGTGGTAACTGATATAGATAAACGTTGTCTAACCAGAAACATGTTTAGTGCAGGCGAACCCAGACGGTCATGTTAATTACTGAGTAGATGCAGGCTGACAAAGGTGGAGCCACTCACAATGTGTTGAGGGATAAAGAGACACATCAACTAGTCTACGAATGACGGTTACAGCAGCACTATAAGAACAAGTAAAGTTAACATACAACACACAATTTTTGCACTGCACTTTGTCTGCATGCAACATATTATACTAAGCCATACTATTTGTATTACTGCACTAAGTCACATTATTTGTGTTGCAAAATGCAAATAATTAACCATCTAAGTACCACTCTAACTACTGGCACTTCATTCAAGTAATATCTCATTCCATGATTAGGAAATCACAAAAACTGTCTTACCTTTTTTGTGACGAATGTCACTGCAGACATTCCAATCTTTATAATTTTCTGGATCATCAGGAATCTGCTGGAACCTGACCTCATAGTGGGTGATTATGCCGTTTGGGTGGAGAGGAGCCTCCCAGTTTATTCTCAGCGAGTTGACGTCTGCCTTCACGGTCACACTTCTCGGTGGTGTTGGCTCTATACCGCGTGACGCAAACATACATGATTGTACAATTACATATACTACATATATACATATTACAATTACATATACTACATATACATATTACAATTACATATACTACATATACATATTACAATTACATATACTACATATACATATTACAATTACATATTACAATTACATATACTACATATACATATTACAGAGACGATTTTTGGGTAATAAGACAAGAATAATACAACTCTGCAATATTTTTTAGTTAATTTGTGTTTGATTTAGACTACAGTGCAACTGCATTTCTTGGTGGCAATGAGCTATAGGTAATGCATGTGGTTTTTACAGTTCCCAAATGCCTGCTTGCCATACATTAATAATGCAACATCTGTCACAAGCAGCAATTTGGCTTTTTTATCATTTTTTTATGGCTATTAACTGAGTTTCCAATCATTTCTGTTGATATTTCACAATAAAATTGGTATGTAGCACTTATGATTCTACTATGATGATAACGGCAAGAAGGGATTAATTACACAGCACGTACTGCGAATGATCTACCAACTTGAATCCTTCTGCAACTGAATCAATCAATAAATCGAAAATAATCGAATGATCGAAATAATCAGCCTCGATAAACAGCATACCTGACGATTTGGTTGTAAAGTAAAAGATGTTACTCTGGGCCCCCTGAGATTCACGGGCTATCGTGTACGTCTTCACGTAGACGGCGTACTGCGTGTATGGTTTCAGATCGCCTAGCAGCTCAGTAATTTCAAGGTTGGACGTATCGTCAAAGCCTCTAGTCGAGTTACTATAGTTGTCTTCCTCAGGTGCAGCGACGTCTACCATTCTCCAACTGAGAAAAAAAAGCATTACGATTTTATCTTTGAAATTATCAACAACCAGTGCGCAAACAGGTTTCAAATCTAGCGGCATGATATCAACTCACTACACAGCTCAACTCAAATATTCTACAGCACTAAAACTCACTCATTACTACCGCAGGCATCTCTCCCGTCGAAGATTGTCAGGTTTTGGTGCAGGCTAGAAAGAAAACAAACATCATTAACAAATTTTTGCTTAATTGTAGAATGTTGTATTCAGAATTTCTACCTTTAGTAGATGCAACAATAACATCAAAGTCACTGACTACATTAGCATATTAACGTACAGAAACAATTAGTAAATGTGTTTCTAATAATTAATCATTACTCTCAATTTCATACATAGAAGAGAAAAAAACATAGTAATCACTAGCAAACCAAAACAAGAACTCGCTTCAACACAGTAATCAACGTTCTTCTTCGATTTTTCACTCATTATGAACACACTGGAGGATGCGATTTACTTACGCTTCTCGACAGTAGATGACAAAGCCCAACAATGACCGTGGGTCATCTGTCCTGTAGTTATCCCACTTCACTATCGCCAGCTCACCGTCAATTGGACGCACCTCTATTCTCAGCATTTGTATGTCACCTACCACCACAAAGAACCAGGCAGTACAATTAGCAGCCTGTTAGACTAGGTTTCACAACAACATCTCAGTGAATGGCCTAACGCCATGCGGCATAACATAGCGTGGTTCAGTCGTTATACAGGTACAAGGTAGGAAAATAATTTTGATTGTAGAACCTATTGGTTAGTGCAAACATTGAAACTCACATGCAACTTTGTCACCATTAGATGTCAATGAGATATCTGTGTCATCCATTCCTTTGCGCTGGTCTTCTGGCATGATAACGGCATTCGCCCATTGTGTGATGTTATTGGGGCATAGCTTAGGGTTGTAGTGAAAGAACATCTTTCCTTTGAGGATCGTGAGATTGACGTGCAAGTTCACATCCCAAATATCTTCCAGGTTTTGATTATCGAGCACGACAAATGCATGCCTGCAAAAGAAAATGACATACGAGCATAAATCATGAAGAAGAATTAGACAAGACAAGGCACAAACCCCATAGTATATCTCACATTTAATAAATATAGGACCTTTTCCTCTCTGGCTATCCTAGTCACTGGACAACAGTGACAAATGCTAAAACAGAAAACAATGGCTGACAAGGTCAAAGTGTTGATAGAGATTCTATGGTTCATGCTGATAGAATTTGCTAATTGTATCGACTGAATACAATAAAATTATTAATGCAGCATGCGCTTACACACAACACACGCACACATGCACGCACACGCACACGTAAATAGTTGCACAGTAGTAATTCGGTGCACGTACTTGTTGTTCAGTAATCGTTCACCACCAATTTCACGCAGATTCCTTAAGAAGCTGAGTGAGACCAGTGGAAATGATCTGGCGATTTTCACATAGTGTTTGACAGTATGGATAGAGTACAGATTTGCCTCCAGCTCCTTCACAATGTTCTCTGCAAAATAAAACATTATAACACATGTAATTGACTAGATGTGTCAATGACAAGAAGTGCCTCTGTTGATATACTCAGAGTATTGTAAAAATCAAAGTAATGCTATAGTTATCCTAGGGTGGAAACTCACTCAATTACTGGCACATTACAGAAGGAACTATCTAGTACACTTTCTAACTACATGACAAAGCATGACAATATTAAAAACTATAAAAGGCAGTTGTCGCCAACTCCATGTATCCCCCGTGTTCTCCCCAAGATGTGTAAGTATACGAAGTTTGGTCGTGCTAGGTCAATTAGGGGCCGAGTTATAGAGCGGAAGAGAAATATGATAAAGGTCAAGGTCAAGGTCAATGTCAAATAAAGGTTGCAGTGACCTGGTTTCGGTACGCAACACACCTTCTCCCCAAGATGTGTAAGTATACCAAGTTTGGTCGCGCTAGGTCAATTAGGGGTCGAGTTATAGAGTGGAAGGGAAATATGATCAAGGTCAAGGTCAAATAAAAGCCGCAGTGACCTGATTTTGGTACGCTGCCCACCTTCTCCCCATGATGTGTAAGTATACCAAGTTTGGTAGCGCTAGGTCAATTAGGGGTCGAGTCATGAGGGGGCGGAAGGAAAATTGTCTGCGGCGGTGGCGGCGGCTGGGGAGACATGAAACAATAGTATCCAGGGTTCTCCAAGCTTTTTCATTATAGTGTGGCGGTGGTACCGGTAAGCATGAGCTGAGGTGCTCGCACGAGCTGAGGTGCTCGC